GTAAGCTGGCCTGAGAGGCATTGCTTACAAGCCACAATGCCTCCTCAATTTTTGGAAATGTGTAGCAATTATTGTTGACTGTTTTGAATTAGGCACAGAAAGACCCTCACATTTAAAAGCACGAGCACAATCTTTCTCCTGGTTCCAAGGCAGACACACTATGAAATACCTTATTGGTATAATAACTCATGGGTCGATTTCTTTCATTTCTAAGGGATGGGACGGACATGCATTGGACAAGCACACTACAGAAAACTGTGGCCTTCTCTCCAATTTATTCCCTGGGGACTTTGTGTTAGCGGACAGAGGCTTTGATATTGAAGACAGTGTAGGAATGATGTGTGCTGAGGTTAAAATGGTGTCATTCACTAACGGGAGATGTCAACTGGATGCTAAAGATGTTGAAGACACACGAGCTGTAGCTCACCTCAGAATTCATGTGGAAAGAGTGATCGGTTGTATGAGGAACAAATACAAAATGTTACACAGAAGTATACCAATTAAGTTGGTATACTTAATTGGTACTAGTATTAGTATACCAATTAAGTACTGGTCTACTTGTGAGGGTGAAGAGGTGACACGTCTTGACAAAATTGTGTATGTGTGCTGCAGCTTAGTGAACATTTGTTCTGGTGTGGTTGTGAAACCTAATGCAAATGAAACCTGCACATATTAATATGAAACTGCAATACTGCACTGATGACTAAAATGCAGATTGAAAAGAGATTTTTGCCACTCATTCTTTAGAAATATTTGTACAGTCAGTACTGATTTGTGTAAAATGTAGATAGTAAAAGAGAAAATTGCATTTGTTCCATTCATGATTTTGTATTGAAATATGTGTATAATTGAATAACATGGAAGTGACTGTTTTCTCTCATTTAATAAATTAATGTGCTAAACATGAGACATTTGATTCAAGCACTTAAAGTTGCATGTAAACAGGTGAAATGGATTACATTTTAAGTAAAAATTTAATTACAATATTTTATATAATATATATACATGCAATGAAAGAGATTACATTTTTAAATAAACATTTTATGTGATTAACTTAAAGACTTATAAAATCTGACAATTTTCAGTAAATTTCATGTAACAAATAAACCAGATTAAAGAACAAATCTTTCAACATTTGATGTGTAATTAAAACATTTCAGAGTGAACAATAAAGGTGACAAGAAAATGTTATAAAATAAATCACTCTTTAAATAAATACTTGTTGGATTTAACATATTTCCAATTAGCGAACATGTAATGAAATAGATCCTGTCCTAAAATTTTATGTCAGTGAACATTACAGTTGACAAATGTGGCGACCATCTGAGGTAACATTTTATAGAAAAATTGCTACATAAATATAAGTGCAAATATTAGTCTCCGCATGACTTGCATGTGGTTAGACTGTCTCTCTTGATTCTGGAGCTGTTCAAATCATGTACCCAGCCATTCGTAAACCAGACATGTGCCTCCATTGACTTATAATTCTTGAATTGATTCAAGCACTGACACCACAGACCAGGTATGAAAAGATATCTGGGAATGTCAGATGAGGCACACTTTTTATTTCAAACGGGTCATTATGTCCAATTTTAGCTATTTTTTCCATGAAGCCCTTTTTGGCTTCTGGGAGAAGCTTTTCGCGACATATATTTTCTTTCTCTCAAACAGTTTTTCAGCATTATGGAAGAAGAGGATACAGTGGTAACGCGATAAAAACACCGGAAAAAGTTTGCTTTGGTATGTGGCCAAACAACATGGCGACGTAAACGTCACATGCAGTGATGTCAGCTCCAAAGCTCTAGAAGTGCATCATTTCTGCCGGATTTTCACCAAATATCAGCTACAACAATGGACAGAGGATATTTGGTGGATGACATCAAGGTGTTTGAGCTGCGCGATGCCTCCAACATTATGCACGGCACAGCAAAATGCTTTCGGTCGATGAGAAAAACATAGCATTAATATAGCTGTGGACAAGATCACTGATGCTTATTGTTCTTGCAAGGCTGGGTAAGTCGGGCATTCATCGTTTTGTAGGTAACTTTTGAAATCAGTGGGTGATTCCTGTTGTTTGTTGGTAAATGTTTGAGTATTCCCAGGCCTGGTACTGTTCTCGGTGCTGGAGTGGCTAACACGAGTAACAGTGTATTCCAAAACCTTTTCTGCTAAAATAAAATCTTTAATGTATGTCAGATACACACTGCACATTGATCTATTTAGCTAACGTAAGGATGTGTAGCAGGTAGGCCTCAAGGTGTAGAATTAGTATACTGCATACTGCTGTTATGCTGTATTTAGCTAAAAGGTGTTCATGATGGATGTGTTTATTATTGACTCTTTTTTTCAGACAGAAAGAAAGCAAGTCAATAATATTGTTGATCCTATGAACTGCTCATGTGGTCGTGCACAAGCTTTGGCATTCTGCTTCTGATTTTGGAAATATGTGAATTTTACTACCTGACATCACCAGTACAGATACCCCACTGGTAATGGAGAACCATTCTTTTTTGATTGTTGATGTGAAACTTTTCTGCCGGTCTGCAATGTAGCCTGGCGCTACATTAGCATGTGTTTACTAATGCATGTACATTAGCTTGTGTTTGTGAGACAGCCACGCATGTGGTAAGGTCCATTCAGATGGCTGCAGCACAGATTTGTGACATTTATACAAATATTAATAATTATATTGCCGTTTAGTTGCACAACTTTACAGACTCATTCATTTGTGGCTGTTTTCACGATTATTGCAGTGTTCAGATTAGTCTCGATGTTTTCAATTGTCTGGATAGTTCAACATAATTCACAGGTAACATATTAACTTCTTCAGTCTCTGCTTATTTCCAAGCCCAAATGAGTAACTTCACATTCAAAAATTAGCCCAAAAAGGCGCAACCCGCGACTCATTAAATTTGCTAGCGACTTAAAAAAAAAGCCCAAAGCCGCTTAGAATAATTGGACTTGGCGACATAAACTCAAAATAGTTTCTGTTTTTCTACCAGCAAAATGCGCATCTTCCTCCATTGTTTACATGTCTGTGACTGATATTGTCGCATAAAGACGACCGTAACTTCACAAGATGCGTAGAGGAAATACAATTAAATAACAAAAGAAGACAGTAATGCACTGTAACGTAAATGATTTCAAGAAGTAACTGTATTCTGACTACTAGATTTGAAATAGCAACATGTTTGGTCACTCGTTACTGAAAAAAGTAGTCACATTAACTGCTTACAACATACTGATATGTCCGAATGTCAGTGGGCCAGTCTACACACACTTAAGCAGACCCTTGGTGATTTGAATGTCTTTGGCTACCAGTTATAATGTTGAGATATTTTGCATTGAAAAAATGCCATAGAAACAAAAATAATGTCAAGGATAATTATCTAACCATTCCTTTGGAAAATTAACTTGCAGGAACAGATTTCCCCACTCCACAGACAGTTTTAAGTGTAGAAGCAATAAAAAACAAGAGGGAGGGAAGGAAGATGGATGGATGGATGGATGGATGGACGGACGGACGGACGGACGGACGGACGGACGGACGGACGGACGGACGGACGGACAGATGATTAAATACACCACTCCAAGGAAACAAGTGGAAGTATTTTTAAAAATCGATGAATGGATTGAGAATGAATGGACATTACGAGTGAAAGACTGAGGTATGAATTGTAAAATGGATGAAAGAATTTTTAAAGGCCTGGGGAAAAACCATGTTCCATTCTTATGCAGAACTGAAATATACAGCTCTGGAAAAAATTAAGAAACCACTTAAAATAATAGGTTTCTTTGATTTTACCTTTTATAGGTATATGTCTGTAAAATGAACGTATCTTCAAAATTCTTAGCAAAAGTATAGTATGTATGTAAGTGCATACAAAATTTCCATTTGTAAACGGCATTGATTTTTTCCACTTTTTTGACTATTACAATAAAAAGACCTATACTCTGCATTATGAATGCAAGAGCCAGTTAATTGCCACTGAACGTTTTATTTTTGGGAAAGACCAAAATCTTTCATAGTCTCATCCTTGGGCCATATGCAGTATGACGAACCACACGCTTCCCGCTATGTCTTTAAGAAAGCCTTGGTGCCAACACTGTTGCCAGGGCAACTGGTGAAAAAACACTTCTGAGGAAATTTCCAGTCTAATAATAACTAATTGCAGAGAATGAAGATTCTCTACAAAGACAATGTCTTGTTCCCTATTGGAACTTGTCCGCTTTAGAGTCTACAGAATTCTGCTGGGATATTCTGCATGCTTCTCTCTGAGCCTATCAGCAGAGGAATGAAGCATGCTGTGAGGCCATTGTTATCTGTCTCACTGTAGTCCTATGCATGTTTCACTAAATATGGATATGTCAGCATATATCACATTCAATAAACATTTCTCTTTTTTTGTGTGTTCGTATCCTTTTCAGATTACTAAACTGCCAGAAAAGATATTCTCTCTTGGACGTTCTCCAAAGGGCCTGGTAACCATGGAGACACCATTGATCGCTTAGTATGTTAAAAGACGTTATTCTGATCATCAATACATGGTGTGACATGTAATGACGCTGTTAAACTGTGTGGGGTGGGTGTTATTTTCATTTCTGACATTAATGTAAATCCTACTCAACCTGTTATGTGTGTGAATTAATATACAGGTTAGTCAAGTGCTGCCCTCGCAGCGTGCGTTTCCTCTTGGATAGCATGGACAGCTCCATAAAAACAAATACCTAGAAAAATCCTTTTCCTTAGCAATCTACAATAACCTTTATCTGCACGGCTTTGGCATGGCGGGAGAGAGAGAAGAGAAAGGAGAGGGAGAGAGGCAGAGAGAGGGGATGTTTATATGAAAGGACAATAACGATCTTTTCCTCTTTGGGAGGAAAAGAGAAATAAAAATCAACCCAGAAACGCGGATAGATTCAAATAACAGCTCAAACAAAAACTCAGTCTGCGAGACCTTCAATGTCAAGGGAAGTCAAGGCAGCGTTGCAGCACTTACCATGTCGGGGTTCAGCCGTGCTAAAATGGCGAAGGTGGACAGTCTGTCACACACGCATTTGGTTCTGAATGAGTCGACGAGCACGGCTCTGCAGCCCCTGGCAGACCAAGATCCCAGCAGAGACGAGCTGCACGAAGAGAAACACACACACACAAACGCAAAGAAAAGCGATGCGGTGAATACAGAGCCAGAAAAAAAAAAAAAAAAAGAAGAAGAAAAGACGGCGCGCGCTTCAATCCCACTGCGTTTACACCGGCTTTTTAATCCGTTTTCCATCTCCGCCGGCTGGGCTGCAGCAGGAGCGGAGCAGAGCAGAGAGCCGAGTGAGCGCCGCGTGAAGCGGCTGCAGATCGACACACTGCAAATGATTATTATTGTCAAAATAATAACTATTATTAATGTCTAAATATTGGATACAAATGACTTTAGATAGAAGAAGTGTTCTTAATTAATCTTCTCAAATTAATATTTAAATTCCTTTCTGTCTTTTAATTTTCTTGATTTCTTTTTAAAATGCACCAATGTGCACTTGCGCACCATCAAACATGCATAAATAAATAAAACGCCATAAGCACCTGGAAGAAAATGCCCAATTTGGCTTCAGTTTGGTCCACATGTAGACTGGAGGGCAGTTGATAAATTATTTGATTAGCAAGGAGCTGGCAGAAGAGCAATAGTGCTCCTGGCTGTTGCCAGAGATTGAAAGTCAGTCATTAGGGTGAATGAAGGTCATCAGAGACAGGATGGATAATTAGTCAGCTTTACCAATAATTGTTTTGTAGAAATTGACCCTCACTCAAACCGATCTAGCTGTTTTCAGACTCATTTTGGGATGCACCAATTTGGAGTGTGGGATCCATTCAAATTCCATAGGTCATAGATAATACACCAAAGTTTAGGCTAATTTATATAAGTTTGATAGTTTTTGTTTGTTGTTTTTTTTTGTAGATTAAGAGAAAAAATAAATAGGAAATGATCTAAACTCGTCTGACATCCAAAATAAACAGAATAGGAGCAGGGAGCAGTATTATTATATGTCATCTCCCTAAGTTAATTACTTCCCAAATAAAACCTAAACAGTACAAATTTTCAAGTTTTCATATTACACAAGTAAAGATATGCAAGAACAACCAATGTTCAAATTTCATGTGACAGAAATATTGAGTAGCTTTATCACTCTGTTTCTTAAAATTTGTTTCATTTTTGGAATTTTCTTCCCACCAAAGTGTTATTGGCCTGAACATAATTATAGCCTTACTCAATGTGATCAAATTAGCCAGATGCTTTAGAAGCAATGACTTCACCTGTCCCCACATTGTCAAACGTTATTTACAATCCTGATTAATTTGGCATTTTTTTGTAATATGTGCAATAGCTGTAGGGTTGAGCAGATGTTACCCCGGAGCACCACTTCATTATTAATTGTAGAAATGCTGATTGACTATATTGACAACTTCCTGCTTTTAATTGATATATAGAAAATAAATCCAGTTTTTGGGTTAACTAGCAGCTTACATATTTATTTTGTTGGAAATTATCATCAGGTTTGATTCGATAATAGTTTCTCTTTGCATCTAAAAACTAACTTGTCTGATTCAAAGTGCAGTAAAGTTGAGAGGAAGGAAGGTACAGTCCCTGCAGTCTATCTGAAGAGTGTCATCATACTTGTACAACTCTTGCTTAGAGACTAATAGATTTAAATATTAATTTGTTCCTGTATCCATTAGAATAATAAATGAGGTCGGTACAGAGTTTACAGTCACACTGTTGATGCTCTGATTTCCATTTTATTCTGCAATCTGTAATATGTGTTTTAAGTAAATAATATGTGTATTTTGGCTTTTGTGGTGTCAGCATTATTTTCTTGATGAATTGGACCACATGTTTGTAAAATATTGTTTATATCAATGTACACTTACCATCCTTATTAAAATGTTTGGGGATATTTTAGGAGTCTTATGTCTACAGGTTCCAAAACTGAAAAGTTGTTATTTTGTATCTAAAGTGCCTCAAAGCAGAATCTATCAATGTCAAATCACTGTCTTAAAAAAAAAAAAATAAGAGCAAGGAGAATATCAGTCCAAACCTTTATGTTTATGTTTCAATTCTCACATCTTCTTGTCACCCCTCAACTGATATCTTGCTAATAAAAATGTATGAAATCCCAAAAACCTTCCACAAAATAAGTTATCTTTGACAGAGAACACAAACATCTCCAAGGACAACATAATCAACATTACGCAACATTTTAAAGTGTTAGACCTGCCAAAGCACGCACTGTCACAACCCAGGGCTGACACCACATCAAATGCAGCTCAGGTTTTTAGAGCACCTAAGGCAGGAAAAGCTGCAAACACAACCAGGCATTGATGTCAGGTAGATGGACAGAAAGATGCAGCTGATGTTCTTGCTATCGATTCCGGAGTGAAGCGGGTGCGTGCGAGTGAAGGCTCGAGCAGTCTCACAGCTCTTATCAACATGACAAGGACGACTTCTCAGACTCCAATTTCTTTTCCAAATATTAACTCATTAATCATAGCTGCCGACCGAGATGGATTTTAATTTTACTCAGAACATGTCTTGTTCCAACCCCCAACCCAACTCCCCATCACAACAAGATTGGATTTTTGTCCTTGTTTTGTCTCTGTCGCTCCCTCTTCCACTGCTCTGCTTCCAAAACTTGTAGTTAGCAGTGACAGCTGGAAGGTGACTGCAATCAATAACATTCAACAGTCACCAGGTTGTTAAGTGTCAAATGAAAGCTTGTATTCAGATATTGACCGGCAGTCCAGTGTTTTATGCTTAACATAAGTTTAGCTTTATTCTCTTATATGTTCTTCAAATTGGATGAAGACTCGTCTTCAAAATAAAACATAACAAAAACAAAAAACCAGGCAAAGCCAGGATGATCAATGCAGGGTCTTGGTGAAATCTTAAGGGTCTATTGACTACAGTGGGATAACGATCGGTGGGGAAGGAGATGTAGTAAAGAAACAGCATAGAAATTTCAATTTCTCCTTTTACTTTGCTGGTGGTCCGTCCGTCCGTCCGTCCGTCCGTCCATCCATCCATTTTTTAAGTCGACTTAAAGCTTTATTTCTCTCAGGGTTTTGTTACAAACATAAGAAAACTCCATGCACCCTCAGCAGGGTCCTGGAGGGTGCATGGGAGTTCACCCAACCAGTCTACATGTGCTTTGTGGACTTGGAGAAGGTGTTCGACTGTGTCCCTCAGGGTGCCCTGTGGGGGGTTCTCCGGGAAGGTGGGGTACCGGGCCCTTTGATACGGGCTGTCAGGTACCTGTATGACCGATGTCAAAGTCTGGTCCGCATTGCCAGCAATAAGTCGGGCTCGTTCCCGGTGAGGGTTGGACTCCGCCAGGGCTGCCCTTTGTCACAGATTCTGTTCATTACTTCTATGGACAGAATTTCTAGGCGCAGCCAGGGCGTTGAGAGGATCCGTTTTGGTGGCCTTAGGATTGCATCTCTGCTTTTTGCGGATGATGAGGTCCTATTGGCTTCATCGAGACGTGATCTGCAGCTCTCGCTGGAGCGGTTCGGAGCCAAGTGTAAAAGCGGCCAGGATGAGGATCAGTGCCTCCAAGTCTGAGACCATGGTCTTGAGTTGGAAAAGGGTAGAGTGCCTTCTCTGGGTCGAGGTGTTCCCGACCCAGAGAACTTGACCCAGAGAACTTGATTCCCGACCCAGAGAACTTGACCCAGAGAACTTGAACTTCTCCACTTCTCCAAGTGTTCACGAATGAGGGAAGAAGGGAGCGGGAGATCGACAGGCGGATTGGTGCAGCGTCCGCCGTGAAGCGGGCACTGTACCAGTCCGTCGTGGTGAAGAGAGAGCTGAGTCAAAAAGCGAAGCTCTCGATTTACCGGTCGATCTACGTTCCTACCCTCATATATGGTCATGAGCTTTGGGTAATGACCGAAAGAACAAGATCGCGGATACAAGCGGCCGAAATGGGTTTTCTCCATAGGGTGGCTGGGCTCTCCCTTAGAGATAGGGTGAGAAGCTCGGTCATCTGGGAGGGACTCAGAGTAGAGCCGCTGCTCCTGCACATCGAGAGGAGCCAGTTGAGGTGTCTCCGGCATCTCGTCAGGATGCCCCCTGGACGGCTGCCTGGTGAGGTGTTTCGGACACGTCCCGCTGGGAGGAGGCCCCGGGGAAGACCCACGCTGGAGGGACTACGTCTCTCGGCTGGCTTGGGAACGCCTCGGGATTCCCCCGGAGGAGCTGGAGGAAGTGGCTGGGGAGAGGGAAGTCTGGGCCTCCCTTCTTAAGCTGCTACCCCCGCGATGGATGGATGGATGGATGGATGGATGGATGGATGGATGGATGGATGGATGGATGGATGGATGGATGGATGGATGGATGGATGGATGGATGGATGGATGGATGGTCTAAAAATTTTTTTTGAAAACAAATTAATTATCTGCAAATAATATGCCATTTTCGAATGTCTGTTTTGTAATAGCGACTAGAGACTTAGTCATGTAATTTCCTTATCACTAGATTTGTGTTTATTTGATTTCTATTCAAGACACTTTGATAATAATTACTATATATTTAATATCTGCGGCTATAGAGTATTATTTGTTTACATTTTTGGTCAGTGGTGTGCCTCATGATTCTTTCTATGAAAACAATGTACCTTGGCTCACAAAAGGTTGAAAAACATTGCTTTAGAACACGAGTCAATGAGTAGATGTGTTCCAATTCACCATCAAAATATAATAAAATCCCAGAAAAGGTGATTGCATTGTGTTGCACAAAATCAGCAACACAAATGGCTCTAAGACCCCACTTTGAACACTCTTCCTCTCCAAATTCAAAACAACCTGCAAAGTTTTATAATTTTGTCATATCATGTTCCGAAACACTTAAATTACTCAAAAAGTGATCAATTAATAACATAAAATAGCTTGAAAATATTTAAAGCTTCATAATGAGCCTAAGAAAAGACACATTGGTTCTCTTTACACTGCGGTAATATTCCAAACAAGAATGTTGCAAACATGTCCTCTTGACATGAGATGAGATTACATGGGTTAGTCAGTAAAACATAATGTTAACTCAAAGGTAATCAAACACACACAATTCAGACAATAGCAACAAATATGTGGTTAAATCCCCCATGAGAACATTGAAACTTACAGGGTTCAGTAGGTAATCAGCAACAAAGAGGAGATTACCTGTCGCTCTCATCCCAGGATATACAGGTGTGGTTGGTCGTGCCCTGCAAATGAGGAACAGGGAAACAGAATCATCACAATGAGTTTAAGTTCAACTGGGCATGCGCTTTGAAATCTGAAAGGACTTTAGAACAGACATGAAGTTTTTTACTGACATTGTATAGGTGGGAGAACTCGATCACAATAGGTGTAGAGAGGGAAGCAGGGAGGGGCTTGATGGTCACTGACAAAAGCTTAGAGTTGAGGATAGTGTTGTTTCTGCAAAACAACAACAACAAAAACAATAAATGCCACAATAACCTGAAATATCAAATTAAAAGAAGTTGTGCACTAATGGCTTATGCACTCATGGTCACTGAACTTGTTCTTGTTGCTAACTGATGAGTTTTCCTCCTGGTTTCTAAAACACCAAAGCAGCTATTGATAATCCACCAGATTATAATTGAGAATCAAAAATAAAAATAAATGTTTTTATTGCTGGTAGTGACAAATAATGTTTAGGTTATCGTCTGTAAATTATTATTATTTTTTAGAATACTAACATTACTTTTTAATTCCTCATGATAACAAATCCTTTTGTAGTATGTGGTTTCAGGGTCTGGTTTTGAAAAGATTGATGAGGCTTTCTAGTATTTAGTTATGTTTCCAGACATTAGAACCAGACCTTGAGTGGAAAGTTCAAATGTGTTAGGAAAAGTAATGTTCTTCTCCCCAAATCTGAATTACATTTCTTTGCAAAAGCTTTTCTGAATTGCATTGTCTGCCTTCATATGAACTATCAATCATGTTGCAAAAGACAATGTGGGAAAATGTAATGCACAGAAACCAAAATGACCAAACATGGTCAACAGCCCCCTGTTGTTTTCTGCTCACTCACATCATCATGGTGTCCTCTCCCCATAATCAAACTCTCAACTCTTAGCAGCACAATCAGTCAACTTAAACATTTGTGTCACCTAGTCTCTTGCTCCAGACTCATCTCATTTTCCCTGAGAGGTGCATTAAATGTAGAACAGGAAAGAGGTTAGGAATCAAAAGCCAGTAAAGATGAGAAATACAGAATGAGGCAGAGAACTGAAAAAATGACAGAAATCCAAAGTTTAGCAAAAGATACATTGGAGGGGTGGAATTTGTGTCTGTCTCATTTTCCTGCTGCATATGTTACCCGTAGATTATATGCTTTTAGCACATTATCATAATGGACATCTATTTCCAAGTGTCAGCACAGCTGTATGTAGCTGGTTAGACTCAGAAACTCATTTGCATGTATTTATGTCCATTAACTTAAAAATATCTTCCCATCTCATTGGAAACTGCCTTATTTCAACTTTACTACAATGTAAGAAATTGTGGACAGGAGATTTTCAAGTTATGTTTAATTTAGTCACCTTTTTGTTAATTCAAAATTGAAATTGTCCCCATTTTGCATTAATGTAAAAGATATTGAAATAAAGTAGAAAAATTAAAATTAAAACATGTCAATGTCTTAGTTGAAAATTCTTTCAAATTTCTACAGTGAATTTACTGTTTTTTATTTTTACAGATTTCTTTTACAGAAAACATAATTTTCTTTTAGAAAATTATGTTTTCTAAATTATATTTTAGAAAACATAATTTATTTTCTAAAATATAACCTAGAGCTTGTATCTAAATCATTTCCAAGTAGCTGAAACTCATCCAGGGAAGTTCAAATTACTTTTCAACAAATCCTAAAATAATTCCAGTGTTGAAAATGTCACAATGGTTCATGTGAACACCATTCTTCATCCTTAAAAGCAGTATCATAATTTCAGAAGATGATTAATTGCGTACATGTCCATCCCCTTTAGTCCTACCTTTGCAGAGCCAAAATGCTGCCCAGGTTCCTGTAGAGAACAACGCCGGTTACAAAGGTCGAGTCATCGTCTGCTTCTGTGTTTGGGAGGAGCAGAAATGAGGACACGGTGAGCCGGCAGGTCAAAGTCATAAAAAGACTGCTGATGCATTCTGAATAGTTGAGTGTGTAAGAAGAGAGCAGGTCATCCATGCTGCCTCTGCGCCTACAGCCAAACAACACCAACACACCTCACACCTGAGACACACATGTCAAGGAAACCTAAATATATTTCATCATTTTCATAGATTTTTAGTAAATGAATAGATGGTTTATTTGCCTGTTCAAGAATCTTTTTTTAGTTTCATGTTCTTTTCCAAATGTGGCCACTTTTGATGTCTTTCATAAAGAAGAGACTGTCAGAGAGCAGGTTGGCTGTTGTGATTTAGCTTTTAGCATCAACAGCGCTACACTGCATGTATGAACTGAGTCAGTCAGAATGTTCAGGAAATGAATAAGAACATGTTGCATGAAATAATTTTACAGCTGAGCGTTTTAGGGACTTAACCATTTCCAACCTAAAAAAACTAACACTGCTGCACTATAGATATCAGCTGATTTAAAGTAGAACTTCTGACATTTTTATAAACCCTCTAAAAAAGCTGTAAATCTGTCCATTGCCCATTAGGTACCATACTTTTAGACTTTTCTGTGTGTGTAAAATGCATCTCTAATGGTGTGTCCTCTAAAGGCTGCAATTCCAAATCCATTGTTTCCATACAAACCTCTCAGGCTGTACATAACCTTATACACCAAACCCTTCAACAGGTTTTGGCAGAGAAATAATTGCTGTTTTTTTTTCGTTTATTTGTTTTTTTCAGTCTTAACAATTTTACAACTTTTTATAAGTCAAAAAATATTTTTTTAAATTCACACATAGAATCTCAACACACACAATACATTCATCCGATCATTATTTGATTCAACATATTCATAATTTTCATGATTACTTAGTTTTGTCTTCTTAGTGCTTGGAGTTGAGCACATTTTGTTGACTTCTGTTTCTCCATTTATTGTTTTAAAATTGAAAACCGGTTCCCAGTGGAGTAAAGAAACTGACCACAGATTAAAAAAACCTTTGTGAACTTGGAGCCAGTTTGTTCTAAATATTCCCCTGATTCATGCTTCTCCATCATGCTGGAAAAAACAGCAATTATGATCAAACTAAATGTAGATGATAAGAAAAAGTCACTCATAGAAAATCCTAATGTTATGCCAGCTTTAGGAGGCAGTCCACTTCCTTAAAATGTCATTTGTATTCACCAGTGTTGTATAAAGTACTGAAATCTCGGAGTCAAGTAAAAGTATAGGTACCGCTCCAAAATATGACTTTGGTAAAAGTAAAAGTCACTGATTGAAATGTTACTTGAGTTAAAGTCTTAAAGTATCTGAAATGTCTTGTACTTAAGTATGGAAATTACTGTAACAATGGATGTACTCAAGTAATGTAATGAAAAGAACAAGTAAAAAGTAAAACAAGGCAAATGCAGTTTGAATGACATTTTTTATATTTTGGTAAACTTGTCAAATACACTTAATGTACACAACCAAGTGCAGACAAAATGAAACCTACTAATAGATAAACCTGCAGGCATCATTTAGTTAAGAAAAGTGGGTGCTTTACCTACACCAAAAGGTTAACTTAACCTGCTTTACAACTGCTTAACCTGCTTTAGGTTAACTTAACCTGCATTACAACTGAACCAGCTTCTTAGTAAACCCTCCAGGACAGAAAATACAAAGTTTCTATAAGCCTCAAGTTTTCCCTTTCAGTAAGGTCGGTGCTGAAAATGAGAAAAATAAATAGTGGCCAAAATGCAGCCAACATGAAGAAAAAAACCCGTTACGATTACCCTATTTCACAAACTATTATGCAAAAGAAAAAAGAATTGGGAGGGAAATGCTGCTTATTTGGCATCTGAAGAGGGAGAGCTTTTTAGTTAACTTGGTGTTCAATGGGAGAAGTGAAACAGACCTCTTGAAGCTGGCACACACCTACTCAAATAATTCAGCAAATAGTCTGATTGGTTAGTGCTCAGATGGTGCCATTAAAATTTTCGTTTTAATGGCAGCTTTGGTTTCCGAGATATTAAAAATGATTTTTTTAGGCCATCCAAAATATATACTTTTTAAGATTACAATTACAAAAAATATTGAGTATGACTACTTCATACTCAATATTTTGTGTCGTGAATTTTGTGTCAGTTGGTCACAAGGCAAGAAATCTATTTCCATTAGTTTCTCAGGAGAGTTAAAATTTGTTGGGTCTCCCTGAGTGAACCTCCGACACCTTGAGGAAGGGGGAGACCTAAAGAACGGCTGGCAGAAATCAGCGTCCACGAATCGGATCAACCTTGAGCTAGATGCCGCTCACACCGGATATCGGAATAGCCAAAATCCAAATTGAAAACAACTTTGCTGCGTTTGTTTTAACGGCACAAACCTGCACAAACCTGCACAAACCTGCAAAATGAACAAGCCCACTTTGGTTTGTTTTGGAGCAAAATGCGGGGATGGTGAACTCTGGATGGTCTAAAAAATCATTTTAATATCTCGGAAACCAAAGCTGCAAAAACGAACATTTTAACGACACAGACCAAACGGAGAACTAACCAATCAGACTGTTTGCTGGACTTTTTGACGTAGGTGGGGAGGAGCGAAACCTGTGCATCCTATTGGTGATGATGAACAAGCCCAGGCAAGCAGGCTTTGTTGCAGTCGATCAGTAGGTGGGATCAAAATATTGGCGTTTTTCTCTCGCTTTTTTGTAACGAGTAACTAAACCACACATTGAAAATGTATCGGAGTAAAAGTATGTAATTAAGTTCAGAAATGTAGTGAAGTAAAAGTAAAAGTTATCAAAAATTTTCATACTTGAGGAAAGTATGAAGTACTCCAAAATATACGTAAGTAAAGTAGTGAAGTATTTTTACTTCGTTACTATACAACACTGGTATTCACTACAAAATTATTCAACCTTTCAGCAAGGAAGTTTTTATAATTTTTGTGTTATGGTTCTGACTTTCATAGAGATAAATGGCCGCCCATCCAATAGGCTTTCAGCCTCAGAGAAACTGCCCTGGCAGGATAGTATCCTCCCTGGGAGCTGAGTCTGCTGGAGAAGACAAAGCTGAGAGAATGACCCAGAGCAGAAGCCCAGGCTGGTTCCAACAAAGTAAACAGCATCCTACCTGAGCAGAAGAATTCCTCTTCCTGTTCTGATGATTAGGTTTTCAGGCATTATGTTGTATCTGATCTTGAGGCCCTTCTCTCTTTGACCCATTTCTCTGAATTTGTTCAAACTTTCCCTTATGACAAGTATTTCGAAAATCCTAATTATTTCCAAAAAATTCTATGTTCAGAGAGAGACAATAGTCAAATCTGTTTTTTATCAAAAGGGTTCTGTCCATCTCCATCTCCAGTAGTCATTGGGTGGTCTATCACAGGGCCGCCCAGATGTCTTGTAAAGCAGAACTGTTGTCTGATCGACTCACTCATACCTAAAGGACCATTTTAGAAAACCCATTTACCTAATGGTGGCAGGATGCTGGAGAACCCTGAGAGAACTCATCCAAGCACAGGGAGAATAGTTCTACCAACTGTGCCACTGTACAGCACAAGAGCTTGAACTTCCTGCGGGACTTTCTGGGTGTTCTTTTTGGAAAGAACTGGCCAGCTTCTTGTCTAAGGCAGCTGTTCTACTGCCTCACTGTAGAAGCAGATGTATCACACCCAACTCATGCTACGCAAGTTTTCCAGGGTGGATACCAGGTTCTTGAGAGCTCTCTTTTGCAGTAGAAGATTCTAAAACATTTTTCACTTCAGTTATGCATCCCAAATTGAATTTTTGATGATCCAAAATAAATAAATAAATAAATAAATAAAAATTCAGCTTTTGCTTTCTTGTATGTATTTAGATGCAAAGAAGGGATGTTTAACCCCAGTCTGACATCGATTGTCAGTAAGATTTCAATATCTGTTTTTAAAGTACCAAAGGCAAAAAAAAGAAAAAAAACTTTCACACAAACAAGATCATTGTGACTCCACAACAATCCAAAAACAATGGGCACTCACATTTTAATGAGTGTAAAAACTTGTATCTTCTATTCAGAAAATTCCTCCAGAGGTCTCTGGACACTGTGCCGGTAAGAGGCCCACAGTGATCCGAGCTGCTACTAAACATGGCTTTAGCTTTCATAAATTTCCCTATTTCAGAGCAGTAAGGAAGGAGATCTGTCAAAACTTGACAACTGGACTCAACAGTAGCATTGGGCTGAAACGAGACCCAAACTGTAGGAAAACATGCCTCCATCTGTCGGGCCATCTCAAGACATCCAACTCTTCTGCTCCAGCACACTATATTGCAGCCTGGAAGCGCACAGCAGTGTGCCAGGCAGCATGCAGAGACAGTGCCTCCCAGGCAACAGCTGAGCTCCCATGGGCATCACAGGGGAACCAAGCAATATGTGTGGGAGTGTGAGGGGGATGAAGTATTATGTATCCTGCTTATACACTCTCTGGCCACACCATGCAATATGCTCAGCCAGATCGAGTGTGCCCAACAATAACTAGTCTGGAGGGATTCTAATCAATTGATTCTGAGTTTGTCTGCAGGGTCAGTGGGTCAATGAATCAACAAAATAACTTCACAATCTTCTGTCTGCAAGTAAAACTCAGAACCAATTGGTTCAGAAAGGAAAGACCAAATGTAAAACTAAAACATACATTTGCTTATTCTGAGCAGGCATAAAGCATATGGAATCAACACTGAAATAAAAAGATATCTATACCAGTATGAACCAATTCTTTGTAAATTCAGAACAAAACTTTAAGTAAGTGAGGAAATCATTTCTAAAGCAACAATGCATGTTATATATTATTTATATTTGTATATGCATATAAAAATACATATGTACATATATATATTTATGTCAGTATGGTAAAATGACATACTGACATACTTTACACACAGAGGAGTGCCAAAATAAATTTCATTATTTATATTAGGTTAGAAAGTGTAATATTTAGATATGTTTCTTATCATTTAAACATATAAATAAATTGTGAGACTCCAGTTACTATCAAGCAACAAATGATTAGAACCTTATGGTTTTTTGTTTTTGTTTTGCTTTTTTAATACAGTCTTGCAAATTAGCATACTTTGCTACAGTAATGGAGGTCCATCACCATTTTGTTAGATTCCTTTCAAACATCCCGAAATAAAATACCAAAGCCTTTTCATCAATGTGAACAAGTGAAAATCGTATCCATAATGTGCTGGCTGATGGTGGAACATTACTGCATAGGAGACACATCCCACAGTCAGCGAGGAAATTACCTTTAATTGCACCTGATTGGATCCAGTTGACTCTTGATTAGGAATGACGGGCTCATTAGTATGCTTCTTGTTTTCAAGGGTCTCAACACTAAACACCCAAAAGTGCTCTTTAGCAAAGGAATGAGACAGGCCAGTAGATGGGAAACAAACTGCCAGTTTGTCAACATAGAAGGATTAGGATTCACTAAAACACACTTTTTTTCAAGAAAGTTGTAAAAATTGAAAACTGCATGCAGAAAGTTCCAATCAATTAAAAACAAAATTTTTCTGTGAGGGAGTAATAATTTTTCACAAATATTATTGACTCAGAGAAGTCCAACTTGTGTCAGTAACTGGTTGTTAGTTTTACAGATACATTTAAAATGTCTGCCTTTGGGGTGTTGAGCAGTAAAGTAATTAAAGTCACTAAAGGTCTATTACTTTGCACGGAAAGATTAATTTCACAATCAGTTGTTCTGGAGCAGTCAATACACCCATCAGCGGTCAGTTTCCTGCATGGTTTTAATTTTTCCCTCTTTTAACACGCCACAGTTAAATGAAGAGAATCCATCTTAACCTCCAGCCTAAAGGAAGATTAGTGGGTTAATTAATTAACACAATAACTTCACAATCTTCCGCATCAAGTAACCTGATTTCTGATAGCTTTTTTTTTTTTTTTTTTTTTTTAAATAACAGTCCTGGTCGCTTCAACCTAAACATGAGAGTCAGGGTGAGTGAATAGTGTTGAAAGACAACATTTCCTCTACATTCTGTATGGCCAGCTTCATGTACTCAGCTTCACTTACTGGTTTTTGTACCACCCAAATAGAAAAAAGATAACCTTTTTTGTGTTTGGGTGGTTGTGGGAGAGCATGCCATGCATGTTTTGTCACAGCTTTCTGCTTCGCATCACCTATTGAACTTGCTTTGTCAGTTTGAGTCAAATGTCTTTTTCAAATTCAATGTTGAACTTTTGTAGCCAGATAATTTGGAAAATTGACCTTATACTATGGAACCTGACAATAGATAAAGATTTATAAATGACAGAAAAAACCCCCGCAATAAATATAAATTCCTAAGAATGTAAATAGAGTACAACAATAATCAAAAAGTTATCATTTTTTCTGTTGTAATATTTGTGTCATCTAATTCAAACAGACTGTGATCTGTTCATCAGAAATAGCTAGTAACCATATTCTGGGATCGACGAATATTGGCTCCATCCTTCATTAGGGTCCTTTTTGCATTAAGCTGCTGCATGAGTGAAGTACTGAAATCTCTTGTTATTCTGTCTCCCATTCTTTCAGAACTTTGTCACAGAACAGAGGGAAAAACAAACCTTGATGCTGTCATTTTTAGCTGACACCAACTGATAATAATGTTAATAATAATAATAACAATAATAATAATAATAATAATAATAATAATAATAATAATAATTTCCAACATGCATCTCTCTCCTCCCTCCGTTGTTTATGTTTTTGTTTCTGCATAGTGTTACAGATGAGATGTTTCTCAAGAGGAAAGCAACAATTTATGTTTTTTACTATGTAAAATTATAAAAATAAAGTGTTATATCTTACAGAAAAAAATGGGTCTTATTAGAGTAAGGCATTGATGACATCACTGATCATAACATAACCCTGTTTATCTTGTTTTCTGAATCTCATAGCATCATAATTTAGCCTCAGATTGAAGTTATGACAAGAAAAGCAGTGCTTCTCATCCAAGGACTGCCCTGAGAAAATAAAAATGACAATTTGGACTCAGGTTTTCCAATTACTTCAAATAGGCTCTGGTGTATACAATCCAGCAGTTAGTGTAGCAGACTGTTCTTAATGTCTGTTATGTCTGTGAAATAAAGCAGTTTATTACATTTCACTAAACACTTGTTTAGTGTTGAGGGACATAATTTTACTCCATAAAGTCCTGACCTAACCTGACCTAACCTGATCAAGCACCCTAATTCCAAATTACAGCAAATAATGAGAGCCAGACTTCTTGCCCAACATCAGTGTCTGACATCTAACATCCTATTAAGAAAAAAAGGTTAGAAATCCCCAGAAACAGACTTGTAAACCTTGTGAAGTGTGTTCCAAGAAGAGTTGAAGCTCTAAGCATGATATTAAAAATGATGTAAAATTATGTGTCATATGTTTTTACTGAATATCCTGAAGTTTGTGTGTCTTGAACCTGAAGATTGACCTTAATTCTATTTCTCAATTAAAGTTCTTCTCAAAGAATATGACCTTATCATTTCTCATGAGCACAGCATGCATCATATTGTCTGAAGTGCTCCATATTGAGCCTGTACATCAATGGTCACACTCACTTCTATTGTATATTATAAAAGACAGATGGGTGAGATTATAAAGTTTAATTAACTAGAAGTAAATGATACAAATTGTTTGAATATTTGGTATTTTATTTGCTGGGGGACCAGGTTTGCTCCTGCCACCTTGTTGTGATTGGTTGCTTCATCTCAACCAATATCAACTATCAACACTGAGTTGATATCAAGGTGTCTAGCATCACTTACTGCTCGATTAAGTTCAACCAGATCTCTTTGAGAGTCGGGCTGAACTGTTGTAGTTCAGGGAGCTGTTATTGTTCGCTTGTTAAACTTTCCAGAATATTTTCCCCCCAATTTATAAACTGTGAAAACTTATTCTGGAAAGCTTGGAAAAAACACAAATGGAGTGTTTCCTTGCTGAGATTTCCTCATTAAAACTGAGTATGCATTAAGAAACAGACTATCAAATAATGACCCTACACACAGAGAAAACCGAGGGGCTAATAAAGGAATTTTTTTTTGATCAAAGAGAAGTTTCATCAGTTTGTATTTATTAACAAACACGTATATGGGATTTTCCCACACAGTAAGAGTAAGTTTGCTTTAAAGTCACGTTTGGATAATTCTCTTTGTGTGTTAGCAAGAATAAGCATCTGAATGCTGCTATTTGCATTTCAGTGTCATCAGATTGTGAAGGCATGCAGGCAGGCTTTGTGTTAACATCTTTAAAAAAATATTTTTGGAAGACAACAAGCCTTTGTTCTGCAGCCACAGAGCAGTGGTTGACGTAGAATCCTTCCATTCTCCTGCATGTTTTATGTGCAACACTAAATCCAAGCGTTTATCTAAGTGGGGGGCTTTGTTCTGCAGATTAATAGATGTAAACACTGTTTTACAAATTATCTAATTGTCACTATGTGTCTACTTTTCTGTGCTGACAAACACATACAAAGAAACACACACGTAGTTCTGCTCTCAAATACAGGGTAGACTGTATTTGAGATAAAACTCTGTTAAGCTCTCTGTTTAACAGAGTTATCAGTTATCTGATATCAGATTTTGAAGAATGTTTGGAATTTACATTTTTAAGAGCATCCATCAAGCAGCATTTACCAGACTTTCCAGTGGACAGGATGTTCTTTGGAATGTTGACTCTGTCCTCAGAGTTCCGAGCCCAGTCCACCATTCCTCTCCAGCCCTTCATAGGGAAGTTGAAGTCAGCCTGATCCATCACAGGACGCTTATGGATGCTCAAAACTGTAATCGACAGAATAGTGACTGTATGTAAGCCTTCAAAAATTTCAACATTGCTATAAAAGTCAGCACTCTCTCTTTCAACACATTATTAGGATTATTGTTGAACTGAACTGAATCATAACATCTCCTGGGTACAAGCTGCATTAAATCTGAGCCTGGGAGATGACAGCCTGCTTCTACCCCGTTCTCTTCAAGTATTTTGGTGAGAAAGATAAAAGATTTTTCTGATCAATTAAAAAGTTTTTTTTTTCTTATCCCTCTAAACGTTTTTAGAGGGATCTTCAAGTTTTCATGGATTAAAAAGTGCATGTCAGGGACTGTAAAAACTTGGGGTAGGGCCCTTTATCAAGTTTGTGAACAGGTTAGAATACACAGGAAAAATAAGCCAAAAATGCAAATTTTTATTTATGATTTTTTATTCATGAATAAATAAATAAATAAATGCAAGAGATCTTTGTTTGAAAGAGGCTAGTATACTGACAAACAAACCTGTTCTGGACATATCTGACTAATTACATTCTTTATAGCTTGACTTCTTTTATGAGAGTAAAAGTAAAAACTTTAATGACAGTGTGGAATATTCTTGGAGGAGTGAAGCATCCTTTACATAGCATGGCTCATGTTTAATATATAGGAGGAGGAGAGGTCAGCCAGCTCCAGACACTGAGCTAAACACGACTCTTCTGATGGCTCAATCCCACATGTACTCCTCCAGTCGAGATCAAGTTTTTATCTAGAGGTAAAAGTAACCAGCGGCCTCTGTGAGGATTATTTCATGTTCATGCCTTTTTAAATGAAAAGTTGAACATCTGTAGCCAATAGGTAATGCAGAAAAACAGCAGGTAGTTGTAAATTTGGATTCAAAATCTTAAAGGAAACATAATTCCTCACCATTCTGCTTGTATCGCTATTTTCTGCGATACAAGCAGAACATAGTGTAAAAGTAAAATAGAATGCAAAATAAAGTGTTTCTCCATAAGAAAGAAAATACAACTGAAACAAGAGAAAAATGAAAACAAACATTCTAATCTAAATCAAGCAAACTTTCCTACGATCTCACAGATCAGCCAACATTACAACGGATAGGTCACACATCAGATCACTCCTCTGAGCCTTTCAATTTCAACAACAAAGTGTTGTTTTAACACACCTGTTCATTCCATAACACACAAAAAGCAACACTCAGCCTATCACAGTCAGCCAGTGATCCACTTAAAGAAAACAACTGAGTAAACATTTTCTGATGTTTTGATAAATTAAAAGTCTAAAATTGAAACTCAAGCTCAGGTTCACTTTGTCTTGAGACTAAAAATATCTTTATAATAAATGTGTTACACAGGACTGTGATGCAAATGAAATATAAATACGTCAATTGATTAAAATAAATCAATTTATTTTCTTTAAAATAAAACTAATTTTTGTGAAAATAAATTGATTTATTTTCATTAAAGCCATTGCTGTTAGCTCTAACAGTGAATGAGTTCTTAACTGCACAACATTGTTTCAGGAATTTTGTTTTAAGTCAGGTGATATTATGTCAGGGGATATTTTTCAAACAGAAGTTTTTAGAGAAAGAAAAGCAGCAAAAAGAAGATGCTTTTGATAGACAGATATAATGTGTGAAATTGAAACTAACCTAGGTTATCGGTGACTTCATACAGGTCACGGAACTCTTTCATCCTTAAGCCAATGACGTCCACAAAGTCCTCCATGAGACGGAACAGCTCCTTGATGTTGGAGCCCAACTGAGAAAACAGACACGAGAGTTGGAAAGAAGGAAAAGATAAGGAATATGAGATGAATATTCTTAGCTGCTGCTTAAGTATAAAACACACAAAATACCACTGTTGCTTGTTGATTGAGAACCATGCTGTGTCTCACACCAGACTGCAACCAGCTTTACCTTCACTTTGTACAATTGTTCGCGTTAATAGCTATATGTTTCCAGTGTTAGAGGTGTTTTATTTAACATTTGTCTCAGTCTGCAATGAGATTTATTTTTCCCCAGATTTAAGAGTAATAGATACATGTCATTTAAACCGAGCTTAAACAAATGATGGTTTATGCTGAATTCTTTGGTCGACTTTTGCTTTAGAAAAATAAAAACTGGCTTATGAAATGGTTTAAGAAACCTAGCTGGTTTATTAAATGCTTCTCCTCCACCTGCATGGTGACAGTCCTGGCACAGCCACCTGTATACTGATGGATGCAGCAGATGGAGGAGTGGGTGTTTGCCTTGAGTCAGTTCCTCATTAGCTAAAGCTATTTCTATCTTCTCATCTGTCCTTTCTCCTCAACACTTTCTGTCTGAAAAGACACAGGTGGGCTGTTCTGACATAGTTTCACTCATCAGCTTTAGGGTTGTCATTACTGAAGACAGAGTTCAACGGGGAAGGAAATTACAAACAAAGCAAAACTGTTTGAGAGAGGGTGGTTCTCACCAGTTGTGCTTCTTCCCATCTGTCCCGGTTCTCTTCCATCAGCAGATTGCTCACTGTCTGCACAAAGTTCTACGAAACAAAAATGAAATGTTTTTCAATCACTCAGGTTGAAATGTATTTTTTAAGTATGTTTAAGATTTATGCCCCACTATCTGGTCTTACTTGGAACTCCAAAAGGTAATAACACTACCTTCAACAATGTCCAATTATATTCCTACAGTACACAATCCTGAAACAAAAACCAACTAATGAATGTGGACCAACCTTAAGTCGGTCAAAATATATGATTCTTTAGCCACTTTGTTCCCTTGAGAAGTGCGTTTGTATTTTCTTTTCGTACGTTACAACATGCATCAAATCCTATCAAATTTTGTTGTAGGCTGCTTTGCCATCTTGGATATCAAACTGTTAGCATGTCATAGCAGTCATGACACTAACATACAGCAACAGTGTCTTCAAACTGAGGCCACAGAGTTGTTCCAAGATAGTCATGGATTAATACTTGGTGGATATGAATTACAAGAACATTTAAGACATTTAAATTGATTAATTATAAAGTACAGAAAAGCAAAATATTGACTGTTGGTGCTTTTAGATTTGACGTTGTGTGAATAATGTTTAATTGGCATAATAGAAATGGTTACATTCTCAATTAATAGTCAAAATCCCACGTCTCCTTCACTGTCTAAGGTTGAAAACCTCATGCAGTAAATGGCCCTTACCTCTAACGTCTTACAGAATTCAAACAGAAACATTCAGTTTTCACAATTTTTCCATCAACTCTGGGACTAGCTCTCTGCATACATGAGATATATGTTCAGAAACTGAACTACAAAACAAGATAGAAGAACCCAAAATAACTAAACATGTTTCAAATTTAATTCTAACTCTAAGCATTTCTACATTCAGAGGTGAAATGTGAAAACTCCCCAAAATTACCCTCATGTCTGCACTGGTGGGGCTGTAGTATGCCCTCCTAAAGATTTCTGTCATGTTCTTCAGTACGTCCAGGATAGCCAACAGATCACCGCTGTAGCTTGTTCCATCATCAGATGTCATCCTCAGCTTGTTCATCACTTCTGAAACTCCATCTCCCACAAGACCACGCTGTGCTTTGGACAAGTGATCCCGAGTCTGATGGAGAAAGTTTCTGTTAGTTTATCTGTTATTTCTTTTTGGGGCATCTCATATAGTTTGTGATTTGTAAAGCATGGGGATGTTTTTTTCTATTTTTGAAGTTTATCGAATGCGTCAAGTTACAAAAAAATTACAGCAATGCCATATAAACAAAGAACGTTCAAAGGAGTGGGTAAAAGCACAAACTTATTAAAGCCCACCCCTACTCAGGTAATGAAATATTGTCCAACAAAATCTTATCATTAAATATTACCGTATTGTCAGTGACATCTATCAAAATGTACATCTAAAGAAGTAAGTGTAAGCTAGTAAGATGAAGCCCAGATATAAAATTGTGTGCTTTAAGTTACCATGTCTCAGTCTGAAACTCTTATTTTGAATTAAAAAAGAAAGTACCATAGTTCTAGAGTTGCCATGTTATTCTGATAAGTACATAGTACAAAAAAGAGAAAGTTTTGGGTGCTCGGTAGAAAAATAAATCTCAGAAAAAAAAAAATTTTCAAATAATTTGTGAGCACCCTGAGAGTGTGGGAACCGTCTAATAATTCGATGCTAATGCCATCAAAGCTAACATTTGCTTCTGGGGAACCTATTGGCTGTAAACCCAAGGCAAATTTCACAGGTTTTATCATGGCTGCACTGTCCTCACTCTCCTGTAGATTAAGAATTAAAATACCGAATCAGACCTGGATACCATTACATGAAGGAGATATTCCTTAATTTAAAATGTATGCACATTTGTGGAAAAGAAACAAAGGGACCATTTCAATATGTTGTTTAAAAAAAATAAAGCTTTCACAGATCACAAACTGTTTTAAACAAGTCAAATGAGGACGTGTTGTGGTGGCGTAGGGGATAGCGTGACGCACACTTGCAGGCCTTTAGTCGTCGACGCAACCGTCACGGGTTCGACTCCCGGACCTGATGATATTTGCCGCATGTCTTCCCCCTCTCCTTACCCTCTTCCTGTCAGCCCCCCACCCAGCACCCCCCCAAAAAAAAAAAAAACCCTGGAGGAGAAAAAAAACCCAAACAATTCAAATGAAAATAGATTTACTGCTTACCAAGGTTTGTATATTACGATAGTCATTGGAAATGCATTTCATATAGGTGGGATTTTCCCAATAGGCAATCCCCTCTTCATCCAAAGAGCAGCGACGCAGGATAACCCCTGTGTGGAGGACACACAGAAGTTCAGCTGAGCACTGAGGACTCTGTCATGCAATTTCTCTAAATAGAATCTTGTGTGAATGCATGGAAGATGGAAGCTCACCTGTGGCATTGGGATCACATTGTACTGCTGCTGTATCCCCGGCAGGAGTCATCTTCCACACAACCTTAGAGAAATTGTCCTCATCACATATCTCATGAGGTGCTGTTTGCAACAGAAAGATAAATAAACTGTCAGTCACACTGACGTGAGAAAATGTATGTGCACATTTCAGATAGAAATTTTTCTGTACAGTCACCTGGGCATCTCTTTTCATTGCAGTGACGGATTTGTTGTCTCTCTCCAGGACAATCCTGTCCTTCAAAAAAGGGCCCATAACAAACCCTATTCCTCTGCTGCGTCCCCCCTCCACAGGTTTTTGAGCAGCCTGACCACAAGGACCAAGGCTGCCACTTCCCATCCACTAACAATCAACACAACATGAAATGTTGTTTACTACAGTAAATTCCAGAGTAAAAATTCAATTAAATTCTCTTAAAGGGGCAGAATTATGTATTTTCCAGACAAACAATGGAATTTTGCAACACAATCACATAACTATCCAACTACATATACATATGACAAAGAAAATTTGGCTTTGTAATTTAATGCCTTGAAATTAAGCCTCTGTCTCCTTAAAAACGCTTGATCTTTGCTGAAACTCCACCTCCAGCAAGTCCACAAAACTTCACTCCTCTATTAAATTAGTGTTTGCTAATTGCTGCAGCCTAGGCTGAAGGAGCTGAGTGGGGGCGTCGTGGCGAGGCATGCACTGTGAGGCTGAAGCTTGGAAAAAGCAGCTCCAAGGAGGAGCTGCATTTCAAAGGGAATGCTAGTTCCACACAGCCATTTGCACAGCAGAACAGTTGCCATGGGAAATTAAAGGATTTATCAAATATTAATAAAAGAATTAAGCTAAAACGCCAGGTATATTTCTGATTAGAGAATAAGATTCTAGCAAACGTAGAGCTCATAAAAGTTGATTTGACATAACACTGCTCCTTTAATAGACTGAGTTTAAAAACAAAATACAAACCATTAGAAGGCTAAAGCTTATTTTTAATTGGAAAAGTCAGTTTGTTAACTGCAGAGTGAAAGACACATTCTGCAACAATTGATCATACCTGGACAATTCCGCAGGAAACAGTCAACCGTCTCCAGCCACTCTCCCCTGCACTCCGAGCCTCCATAAGAGGGGCCATTGCATTCCCTGGTTCTCTGCATCGTCCCATTGGAACATGTCGCAGAGCAGGAGCTCCAGCTGGACCACTCATTCCAGACCCCATCAACTGGGAACCGGCAGGGCCACAGCAACAAGCGAGGACAAAGAGTGTGACCAACCACAGTGTTCATAAGCCGGGATATTATTCACAGCTAAGCAAACTGAGAGGGTTTGCTTGATTGTGATCTATGAGGATGTCAACATTATTGGGTCATTGGTTGATGGGTCATGCTTACCTGGACAGACGGCTATGTTGCAGAATTTGGTCTGCTTCTCTGGTCCATCACAAGGTTTTCCCTCAAACTGCGGGGGGGAACAAGTTCTTGTTCGGGCCCTGTAACCTCGGCCACAGGTGGATGAACACAAACTCCACGGTGACCACTCATCCCATGTGCCATGAACTGCAATCAGAGCAACTATCATGTGACTTAGAAGACCGATGTACAGTCCATCCATTTTACAAATTGTAAACTAAGAAACATCACAGTGACAGGTGACCCATCTGTTACTCCACTGTGGGTTTGATTTTAAGGCTATTGTTTCTAGGACCTCCACCAGCTGTCTCTTTCCATAAGAGACTGAGCACCCTTTGAAACCTGATCTGTTGATAGAGTGGCTAATAAGAGTGGTATCTAGAGGGTCTTCTATGGATAATACATGGTCAGGGAGAGGACTGAGCGCTGGAAGGAGACAGGTGCGGGTGACTGCGGAACGTGAGGAGGATCTGGTAGGGGTAAGGGAGAGGCTCACCTGGACAAATTGCTGAGGTGTTGCAAGGTCTCTGCTCTCGCAGTGGCCCGCTACAATGGGTGCTGTAGGAGGAGGACACACAGAAACGAGTGCGACTCTGCCAGCCTTCCCCGCAGGTGGCAGAACACACACTCCAGGATGACCACTCCTCACCTGAAGTTGATTCTACTGAGCAAGATGGAATAGGTAAAGAATGGAAGGATTGGGAGGAAAAGAAAGAAAAGGAAAGGTCCACAACTGTTTAACATGCAGGATTCAGCCTCCGGGGCCAAAAAAAGAAGGGCTGTGTATTAAAAGGTAAATTATGTCCGTGCCACACTTCAAGGGGCCGCTTTTATTGAACACCTAAGATTTCCTGAATATTGAATAAAGTTGTCTTCTTCAAAGACAAATGAGGTTGACAGATGGGTTTTCTCATGGTAGCTTGAACTTGCAGTCCTTTAAGATGATCGGTCTTCTAAATAGTACTGTTGATCATTCTAAAGGACAAGATAAAGAATTGTTTAGGAGGCTACAAGTAATTTTTTAAATACTGTCCTGTCTTGTTGCAACAGGTAAAGGCTAACCTTCTTTGTCCAAATTCACACATAGCTCCCCTCAAACAAGCGACCCCTGAAATGGAGCCCAGCACTGGATCTGCTTGTTATTTGTTAGGCTCAGATGTCATATCCTTTGCATTGACTCTATGTAAAAGTGAATGCCATCGCCTTAGGATATGTCATTCATACTGTTACATTCAGAAACTGCCAATTAGATGGATCACTGAACCAATTAGAGAAGCCTGAGGAATCACAGTCGGGTTGTGAGAAAAGAAAAGCTAACAGGAAGTGGGAAGCTAAGCACATTAAAGTGATGCCTCACTCAAAATAAAAAATCTCTGGAATATTGTTGGAAGTAAACCCACAGATAAATAACCAAAGACTAAGAATAACAACCCTATGGAAAACAAAATCCCATGATAAAAAACCCCTCCAAAATCATGACAGTTAGAACTTATAAACTTTGAGTCACTTTATGGTTTATAATTACTTTAGGAATGGGTAATTTTGGTTTAAATCTCTATTCCCAGAAAATATCTTGGCAAAGGGTCTTTACATTCAGGCCTGCAACTTTGGTTTCTTTTTCAACATGAACAGTGTTGTAGTTTGTTTTCGAAATGGTTTTTCACATTTGAATGTATCTGTGTGTGGATGTATGTGCATAGGGTGGAGGATATGTACATGGATCTTGTGTACACTTTAGGATTTACTTGCTTGATATTTTCTTGCAACATATAATTTCTATGTTCTGTAAAATGAATACATGGTAAAGTAACTATTCTTTCCTTGTATTTACATATATCACCAATATAGTAATAATACAGTATCTTCTGTTTCAATCATAGACTGATTACCAGTAAAATTTGTTGAACTATTCCTTTATGTAATTTATTTTTTTTACTTTGGTGCAGCATCACTTTATCAGAGAGCAGCAACTCAGTTTGATTTCATATTTTACAGAGAGTACACAGTGTTGTTTCTTTCAGTTTTTTTCTATGTTCAGTTAGGGTACATGTTGGAAGTAGTCCACTGTGGACAAGGCAGTGCTGTGGGAGATTTTGATAGATGTGTATGTTTGAAGTGTGTCACACCGTATGTTGTAAAAGTAAACTGGTCACCCAAGCTGCCACAGTGACTGATGCATGGGATCCCTCTGCGTCCCGTTGTCTTACCTTCTTGAGGACTCTGCTGTCCGTTGCGGGGAGACTTGTCTGTGTCATCACGCTTGGGGTTGTCCACCGAGCGGAGAGACTGGCTGCGAGAGAGATGGCGACCTTTGCCTAAAGGAGGACGAGGCAAGGCCAGGAGGGGGAGGAGGGGCGGGGTTAGCAACCAGAGCTCCTTCATTGACGGCTTATATTTGGGGAACAACCGTGACGTGATTGGTCACCCAGAACAGCATCAGCCAAACTTGGGACTTGTGTTGTGCTATTAGTGTTTATGTGATGTTCCTGTGTGCTGACAATTTCTTTCAGTTGTTGTAAAATGCTGTTCAGAGTCTTGAAGTGCCTCTGATGGTCTGACTAAGTACAAAAATACACTTAAACCCATCACAGCTGCAGCCATGACTTCTTGAGACAGAGAAATGCAACAATTGTTCTGCCCAGATGAAAATAAGTTTTAAGCTGTCAAACATTTCAGTGAAAGCATTAATACTTCTTGGTAAATAGACTCTAATTACCAATAAAGCACCCAGATGCTCACTGATTGAGTCACTTTAGCCATTTGAGGATGTTAGGATTTTGAAATAATTTGGTCTTTGCATTATTGACCAAAAAAACCAGTTGACCATGCAGGTTTTCTTATTTTCATCGATCAAAGTCCCCTTTCCAACATGCACTCCTTAATTCAAAATACTGAATCACATCAATAAGATACAGAACAGAAGAATAAGTTAGTAGGAAAGGAAGGGCAAGCGTAGAATATCTTTAAAATGTCCAACGAACACAAAGTTTCATTGGTGGACAGAACCAAAGTCATTGGGAAGAGCTAACCTGTGCACGACTGGGAGTTGCAAGGGCGACCTTCCTCCACTACGCCCTCACACAGGAAAGACTCCTCTGGAGGCGACTGGCAGGTCCGAGCTCGGGTTTGGATTCCTCCACCACATTCACTGCTGCACTGGCCCCAGCGACCCCACACAGTCCAACCTCCTGCAGACACAAACACAGCCAACAGATACAGTCACTGTTAAAAGACTGCAGTACTGTCAACACTACATGTGAGCTAAATGACAACAGCTTTTATAAATAAAATTAAAACAGTTTATTTTTTGTGGAATGATTAAATTAATATATATGTTCTTCTTACACTCTGAAGCAAACATTGTAATTGCAACAAACTGACAGACTGTGTAATGTTTCACACAACACAGTGGTACTGTAGAATGGTTTTTGCTATTTTAACTTATATTAGCCATTAGTTAAACTTAAAAACAATGAAACATGGCTTTCAGCATTTTTTCACAAGAAATTAGACCCTAAATTCACATTCCTGCTTGTCTAATCTGATATTCTTAAATTACTGTGCAATCCTGCCTTCACAGTATATAGCCAGTAAATAGAGTCCTCGTGTGTATACTTCTCTCCACCTAAATACAGCTATGAAGGTTTCAGCGGTTTATTGGACAGCATTAGTGAACAAACTGTTGTGGATCTGGAGGTCTGGAGGTGCTCCTTCAGCTTTCTCCTCCAGGGGGCATCGTGAGACACTGAGGAGGGCGTGACTGGTTGGTCCTCCTGCACACCTGTGGCCACTTACCTCATGGGGAGGAGTATTTCTCCCCATGAGGATCACACCGACACTCCAGTGCCAGATTGTTGCTCGCCTATGGTAGATCCAGTTGCTAAGCTAACCTCAGACCAACCTGATCTGTTTTCTAACATCTCCTTTTCACTCGCCTTCAGGTCCTGTCTCCGTGTGCTCCCCGCATTTTGTTCCACCTGGATTCCTCGTTGGCCAGGAGGCCCATCGAGACCATGTGGCCTGATCTTCCGTGTGGCTCCTGTAACCAGTCTCACCTGTCCGCCCTCCTACGACGCAGCCGTCTGTTTTCCTACTTTGTCTACCTCCAATCCACGACTTACCTGTTCCCTTTCACTCCGCTCTCTGCAACGGCAAGTAAGGTCGAGAACTCCTAAGATAATTCCATACGTCACCCTGTTCTCACATCAATCTTCCTTCCCAGGAGAACCCCCCACCCCCCTTGGTCCTGTTCCCATTTCCCTCCTTAGTGTCCAACCCCCGGATTCCCTCCTGTCATTCACATTCTACACTGTTGTAAATAAATCTCATTGAACTTTCATCTGTCTCCCGAGTGTGTTCTGCTCATGTAGCTTTACCGAGCTAAATAAATCATGACACAAACCAAGGAACACAGCAGATAGGTTAAATGTAGGATTTGTTTGAGAAACTACAAACCTACCAGAGCATCCCTTTCACCAAAACAGAGAGGAGAACATTGTTTAGAGAATCATGGAAGAATTCTGAGATGACTGTGGAAGAGATTCACAGCTCAAGATGAAGAATCAGACAAAAAGACAGTTCCTTTGACTCTTTTCCACTAGAACCTACTCAGTGAAGTTTATGTCTACATGGTTAAGAATATTTTCAGTTGCACTTGAATACCAGCTCTGTGTGAGTGGGGTCATCCTAGCAGAGTGGACCCTTGCAATGTGGCAATAACATTCGACATGAATGCAGCACAAGTGAAAAAAACTTATGCTGGGTTTATCTTGCATCTTGTCATTACCCCACAAACCAAATCTATTTGCAGTGTTGCCATTTTTCTTAGCACATTAGTATTGCGAGTTTTTACAAATGTTAGAACTGATCCTTGTAAGGGAGTTGCTCTTGTCACACAACCAACCCACCCCTATCCAGTCAGTGACCAGTGATGGTGTAGTTACTTGAAAAAGCAACTTCAATCAAATTACTGATTATTCCTTGAAAAAGTAATTTAGTTAGATTACTGACTAATTGATTTGGAAAGTAACTAAGTTATATTAAAAGTAACTTTTTAAGTTACTTTCAGCAGCTGCTGACAACAACGCTCCACCACCTGTGAAAATTACATTGATCTTTCCCAATACTTAATTGCAAGTTATTTTATAATGGTAACATCAGCAATGTATCTCCACTCATAAGGCCTTTTGAATAAAAGAGGAGCTTTTTCAATGATTAAAACAGTTAAAAAACAAAAACAAAAACAAAATGTCAGTAATGTGTGTGTTTCTGTGTTTTTATTGTCTGGAAAACTCTAAGAAGCATTTTAAAGCCCACATCCCTGTCCCAGCCTCCAGGTTCTGCGTTACAGCCCTGTGTTTGGTGTCAGAGCGCAACACACAAAGCTCCTCCTGCTGCTCTGCAATGGACCTTACCAAGCTCCACCCACAACCTACCTCGAAAATCTCACATGGCCTTCAGTCTCAAACAAAGCGTTGGCGCTTTGTTTCTATGTAAACATGGGGTCTTCCACTTGGACTCATAGTGTATTTCTGAGTCGATTAGCACATCACTTCTGCTGGATTTTCACCAAATATCATCTACAACAATGGCCAGAGGAACTAACAAGTTCAGGTCATCTTTTTTGGATGACATCAAGGTGTTTGAGCTACTCGATGCCTCCAACATTGTGCACATCACAGCATTTCGGTCGATGAGGAAAACATAGCATCAATATAGCCGTGGACAAGATTACAGATGCTTATTGTTCTTGCAACCTGGGTAAGTTGGGCATTCATCGTTTTGTAGGTTACTTTTGAAATCAGAGGGTGAATCCTGTGGTTTGTTGGTAAATGTTTGAGTGTGCCCAGTCCTGGTACTGTACTCGGTGCTAGAGTGGCTAACAAGAGCAACAGTTTAGTTCAAAGCCTTTTCTGCTAAAATAAAATCTTGAATGTATGTCAGATACACATTGCATATCGATCTGTTTAGCTAATGTAAGACTGTGTAGCAGGTAGGCCTCAAGGTGTAGAATTAGTATACTGCATACTGCCGTTATGCTGTACTTAGTTAAAAGGTGTTCATGATGGGTGTGTTTATTATTGATTTTCTTTTTTACAGATAGAAATAAAGCAAATAAATGATATTTACACCAGCACACACTCCTTTGTTGTTGATCCTACAAAGGTTGAGTTGCTCATGTGGTCATGCACAAGCTTTGCTCCAAGAAAGGCATTCTGATTCTGATTTTAGAAATCTGTGAATTTTATTTCCACAAATATGATCAGGATACCTGACATCACCAGTACAGGCAATAGAGAACCATTCTTTTTCGATTGTTGATGTGAAAACTTGTGTTTACTAATGCATGTACATTAGCTTGCGTTTGTGAGGCAGCCACGCATGTGGTAGCCATGCTATGATGTAGAATGGGCATCAGCCAATGGAACGCGGCCCTTGTGGTAAGGTCCATTCAAAAGGCTGCTGCACAGATTTGTGATATTTATATAAATATTAATAATTAAAATGGGGTTTAGTTGCACAACTTTATGTATTCACTCATTTGTGGCTTTTTTCACTTTCATTGCATTGTTCAGATTAGTCTTGATGTTTCCAATTTTCTGGATAGTTCAACATAATTCACAGGTAATATATTAAGATGACATTAATAAAGACACAGCGGGACGGATCATCCGGGAAATTATGGACAGGGAGAGTCTAACTAATACTACCTTAATAGCGGACAAATTCTGGGATTTATTATGAGTCTCTACTTATTTCCAAGCCTAAATGAGCCCAAAAAGATGCAATCCGTGACTCATTAAATTTGCAAGCGACTTAAAAAAATAGCCTCTAATAATAATAATAATTCAAAATAGTTCCTGTTTTCACACCAACAAAATGCACATCTCCCTCCATTGTTTACATTTCTTCTGCTGCTGATACAGTTGGATAAAGATGTTGGTCACTCGACAAGACCCGTAGACGGAATACAATTAAATAACAAAAGAAGATAGTGACGTAAAGTGATTTCGACAAGTAACTGTCTACTTCATTTGTAGACTACTACAAATGCAGTTGTAGTCTGACTACTGGATTGGAAATAGCAACGCATTAGAGTACTCGTTACTGAAAAAAGTGGTCTCCTGATGTGTTTCCAGTCAGGAACCCATGTAGTCTCTGAAGAAAGGGGCTGGGACCATATAAACATAGTGAATGAACACAACTGTTAGAACACAGTTTCTTTTCCTAAAAGAGTGGGAGCAATTATTTCCTGAGTTGACAGATTGGGACTTCTGGATGTGCAGCTGTTTTGTCAGTGTACAAATTTCCTCTAATTTTAAGAAATGCTGTTCAATCAGGAAAAAGGTAAATATCTTTGCCATAAAGATATTTTATTTAAAAGCGTCCATTAAAAAAGAAGTGTTTCTGAGGTATACCCATGCTAACTTCAGTCATTAGCATGGGTATTCCACTATGAAAGAAGCCTCTGTGATAATGCTAATTATAAAGGTAATCACTTGATAATGGACTCTGTTCATAGCACACACAGCCTTAGATGTGAGAACACATAACATGTGCAAATTGGTTATATAATACCCTTCTATATTGAATAGAAGTACATACCCGCCGATGTTCCGTTACCCAACATTACCCACACCAACTGAGGCCAGGCTGAGAAAATTCAGGAGTTACCATCTATCGTATCCTAGTGTCCAAATACTATCAAAGAACACATAAAAAAATCTCTTTTGTTGCAAATACATTAAAGCAATCATCAAAGCAGATTGAGAGGATAAGGCTGTGTGAGTAAATACTTTGAAAACTTACCTGCGACAGCATGAAATAAGCATCACCGACTGATGGTATCTTGCAGTGAAAAAGTATCTGAGAGGAGTTATTTTTTTTCTTTAGAACCATGGTGTGATGAATGCTATTGTCATAGTCAAATTCCCTGTTTAGCTATTCTGATTTAATGTTCACCATTAAGATGTGTGCTGATATGAGGAGGATGGAGCAAAGTGCTGCCGAACAACTCTCTCCCCGCCTGTGTCCTCCAAGCTCATAAATGTTTAATGGCACAGACAGATGTCTTTAAGCCCCCACAGGCAACGACAAATATGTATTAATCTGCATGAATAGAACATGAAGTTGGCCCACATCCAGATGCACACAGTTTTAATTACTCGCAAATCAATCTTCTTCAGAG